AAAAAAAAAAAAAAGTTTGAAAATATTTTTTAAAATTACCAATAAGCTAAGGTTAATTTATTATTAAAGAAAGAAAACATTGTATAAATTGAGTGTAGCCTAAGTGCAGTGTTTATAAAGTCTGCAGTAGTGTACAGTAATGCCCTAGGCCTTCACGTTCACTCACCACTGTCTCACTGGCTCAGCCAGAGCAACTTCCAGTCCTGCAAGCTCCATTCACGGTAAGTGCTTTATACAGGTGTATCATTTTTAATCGTTTATACTGTTTTTCTGTTTTTGTTTTTGTTTTGAGATGGAGTCTTGCTCTGTCACCAGGCTGGAGCGCAGTGGCGCAATCTTGGCTCACTGCAACCTCTGCCTCCTGGATTCAAGCAATTCCTCCGCCTCAGCCTCCCGAGTAGCTGGGACTACAGGCATGTGCCACCATGCCTGGCTAATTTTTGTATTTTTGATAGAGACAGGGTTTCACCATGTTGGCCATGATGGTCTCGATCTCTTGACCTCATGATCCGCCCGCCTTGGCCTCCCAAAGTGCTGGGATTACAGGCAGAGCCACCGTGCCCGGCCTATACTGTATTTTTACTGCACCTTTTCTATGTTCAGACACACTAATACTTGACATTATGTTACAATTGTCCACAGTATTCAGTACAGTCACATGCTACACAGGTTTATAAGCTAGGAGCAATGGGATATACCATACAGCCTAAGTGTGTAGCAGGCTAGATCATCTAGTTTGTGTAAGGACACTCTATGAAGTTCATATAATGATGAAATCACCTAACAACCTGTTTCTCAGAATGCATCCCCATTGTTGAGCAATGTATGACTGTTGTCTTTCAGCTCAGGTATTTTGGGGTTATGCTATTCATCTGAAATAGCAATCTAAAAATCAATATAAGACTTGTTAACATTTTTACCTCCTAGTATATTCATAAGCAGAGAAGGGAAAAAAGGTGGGCATATGAGACAACAGATCATATATTTATAGTCTTATATGTGTTTTGAAATTTCTTTCACCCATAAGTAAAGAGGTAACTTCAGTGATGTCTAGACAGAGAGCAGATGCTAGCCAACTTCAGTACCAAAAATAGCACTTTGCTTTTACTGTAATATGGCAAAATTTAAGTGAATTGAGCCTTAATTGTTGAATCCTGCAACTCTATTAACCACAACCTAAATACACCCCCATCTGGGCCATAGCTAGCAGGAATTTTAGATCTTTCTTAGTATAAATATCAGCTCATTAACTAAGAAACTGGCTATATTGGATATTTAGCCCCATATTCCTTAAGATCTGTCAATAGAAAGAATAGGAAGTCAGTATAACCAGTTTTTGGTAATGAGCTTAATGGTGGCTTGTCCTATCTTTTTTTGTTTTTGTTTTTGTTTTTGAGACAGGATCTCACTCTGTCACCTAGGCTGGAGTGCTGTGGCACAATCATAGCTCACTGCATCCTCAAACTCCTGGACTCAAGCAATCCTCCCCCAACTCAGCCTCCAGAGTAGTTGGGACTACAGGTGCACACCACCACAGCTGGCTAATTTTTAAATTTTTTGTAGAGATGGAGTCTTGCTTTGCTCCCCACACTGGTCTCAAATTTCGGGCCTCAAGTTATCCTCCTGCTTCAGCCTCCCAGAGTGCCAGGATTACAGGGATAAGACACAGCATCCAGTCGCCTTTCCCATCTTGATAGTCCTGTTCATTTATATGTGGTTCTTCAAGAGTTCTGACCTTGGGGTTTGGGAGCTCAGTCTCTAGCTTACACCCAGGGAGAGCCCACATGTAATAATAGCTAGTTGAACTTCCAGAGGGGGTCTTCCTTTATTATTTAATGCCCCTCTCTTAGGAGCTCTTATAGCACATACCCCTGGTCCTGCACTATTGAAGGATTCAGCTAAACTCTGTTTAGGACTACTTATTGATTAATACATGTATGTTCTCTTTTAGTTGTCTATCCAAGGACAACGATGGTGTCACATAAAACTGGGTATGTATAGGTACTTGATAATATTTGTTGATTTGTTGAAAAAAGGGAGCCCAGAAACAGATATATTTTTTAATTTTAATATCTTGTCAAACTAGAAAGAAAATTAATTTCCAAGATGAACAGTATAAAATACCATAGCAAGATTTAGGTTGCTTGGTAATGTAACCTCTATTACATATCATGAATCTTGACTGCACAAAGATTTTATACTTGGTTTTATCTGGCCTCCTACTTCAAAAACCATAATAGATCTCTCAACATTCAGTCTAAAGAGTTTTATCGGCCGGGCGCGGTGGCTCAAGCCTGTAATCCCAGCACTTTGGGAGGCCG